GAGACAAAATTTGGGGTTCAACCTGAAGGTCAGAAAAGCAAAACAGCCAGTCACTGGCTCTTACCTCTACCTCAGTCCATAATAGTGATCCTGCTTCCAGGAATCTCAGAATGAGACTGAGCCTGAGAGCTGTGTCCTCCCGTTTTATAATCCTCTCTAGGGCTGGGATTAAAGGCATGCACCACCACCACCCGGTTTCTATGGCAAACTAGTGTGGCTACTGGGATTAAATGTGTTTGTCATCACTGCCTGGTCTGTAAGACTGACCAGTGGGGCTGTTTTACTCTGGTCTTCAGGCAAGTTTTATTTATTAAAATGCTAATGAAATATCACTATACTTCCAGATTTTCTATGTGTATGTCTGTGTTTGTGTGTGCATGCATGCATGTGTGTTTATGCATGTGTTAGTATGCCTTCATAATATGTGTATGCATATGTGTGCCTGTGTGCATTTGTGGGTGTGCACCTATGCATTTGTACCTCTCTGTGTGGATGTGCATGGCACAGTTTTAGAGTTGTGTCTTTAAAAGATTGTGGATTTTAATTTATATTTTCCCATTTAACTTATTTCCAAGTAGACAGCCTTTTCTTCCTGTTATCTAAATCCACCAGCTAGGACTTCAGCTACTGTATCTAGCAGAAGTGGCAACATTAGGCATTCTTGTGTGCCTGATCTTTTTTTTTTTTTTTTTTTTTTTTTTTTTTTTTTTTTTTTTTTTTTTTTTTTTTTTTGTCCCTGATCTTATGACAAAAACCCTTCCGCTTCTTACCAGGGAGTATATCAGGTGAGGCTTTTTATGTGGCCTTTATTCAAGCCTACTTTTGGTCTGGATACTTCTATCCATCCCTACTTGACGGAGAACGGTGGTCTTCTTTGAGTGCTGTGCTTTTCAAATTCTGTTAAACTAAATTTTGAAACACAAACTAGCTTCAGTGGCACTAGTGTCTGTACCTGTCATCTAGGGAACTTGCCAAGTGGAAAGACCTCAACTTCTCTGGCCCCTCACAGTCAGGAATTTACTACCAACTTCAAGTTGTAAAGGTTTGCAGAGTTTTGTGGGGGTTAAAATGTGTTTTCCCCCTAATTAAGAAGTAGTTCAAAACTATATATAATGTGGCAAGTCTCAAGAGAGATAGAGAATAAAAGAGATATTGTCCTTAATTCTGCCTCTTGTTATTTAAGTTGGTTACTTTTTAGATGTTCCTTACTTTAGTTACACGTAGTATTTTTCTTCTGGGGCTGTGGGGAGAACATCCCCTGTGGGAGGCTCACAGGGATACAGGACTTGAAGCTATAGACTTTGATAATTCTTTTGCTTTAAATAACTTCACCTTGAGGGATTGGAGCGACGTCTCAGTGGTTAAGAGCACTGGCTGCGCTTCCAGATCTGGGTTCGAGTCTCGGCAACTATATGGTAGCTCATGATCATCTGAAATTGCAGCTCCAGGGGATCAGGAACCCTCTTCTGGACACCATGGACACCAGGAACACATGTTGCATACAGACATACATGCAGGCAAAACACCCATACATATAAAATCTTTAAAAAATATTCTGAAATTTTATTCCACTCTGTAGACACTACGTGGGACAAGTTTTTAAACTATTTTTAGACCTTTGTCTAAAACATTTTAGACTTATTATCTATTTTAGACTTATAATCTTCTAACCTCAATTAAGGCAATAATGGTAATCTCCTGCACACGTGCCCACAGGTCAGCTTGATCTAGACTCACCCATGCACATGTGCCCACAGATCAGCTTGATCTAGACTCACCCATGCACACGTGCCCACAGGTCAGCCTGGTCTAGACACATTCCTGCATATATGCCCCCAGGTCAGCCTGATCTAGATGCACCCCTGCACATGTACCCACAGGTCAGCCTGATCTAGATGCACCCCTGCACACGTGCCCACAGGTCAGCCTGATCTAGACACATCCCTGCATACATGCCCCCAGGTCAGCCTTGTCTAGATGCACCCCTGCACACGTACCCACAGGTCAGCCTGATCTAGATGCACCCCTGCACACGTGCTCCCAAGTCAGTCCAATCTAGACACACCCCTGCAAATGTGCCCCCAGGTCAGTCTGATCTAGACACAACCTCATTGAGACTCTCTCACCAGGCAAGTCTTCATTGTGTCAAATGGACAACTAAAATTAACCACCATGGACGAGCAAGATGGCTCAGTGAGTAAAGGTACTTGCCACCAAGCCTGTTGAGCTGAGCTTGATCCCTATGACCCACATGCTTGGAGGAAACAAATCCCCCAGGTAGTAGTTATCCTCTGACTTTCAGACATGCACTGTGGCAGGAGTATACATAAAGCACACACACACACACACACACACCCCACTGAAAATTACCAGTCAAACAAATCCTGAAACTTGGCCATCACAGACTCCATACAATTTACTCCACAGACTTCACACATGAATAGCTGCTTTCCAGGAGAGGAACAAGTTGAAACTGCTCCTCTTGGCCATGAGTCTCTTATAGTGGAAAAGCCTACGGGTGCCTTAAATCCAGCCTTGATCTTTGCCTGCTGTCCTTCTGCTCTGAGAGTAGTCGCCCTGTGCCAGCTGCGCTGTCATCTTCTCTGTATAATACCCAGACAACTTCCTGCTTCTGGACTCTGTTCCTCGCTTTCTCAAAGCCCACACTGCTTCCTGTCATCCACCTCTTAGAGACTTGAGAACTGACCCCCTTTCTCACTGGAACTAGGTCTCATAGCATCTGTTAACTTATTATAGACACAATAGGGCTTAATGCTTGGCCAAACATCATATACATAGCAAATATTTTTGGAATTATTGAATGCATTTTGGATATTCTCTTGCTTACATTGAAATCTGCTTTATATTTGAGATACAGTGACACAAGTCCCAGATTTCATTGTCTTTCTTCTCCCTGTTTGAATTCTATATCTGATTCTATGCTGTAATTTTACATATGACGTTTCTAATCTTCACAGTGGTCTCCCGGAGCATCTATTGTCTTTTCTTCTTTGTGTAGCAGGAGTTGAGGGTCTTCAGGCTCCTTAGTTCCTCTAGAGTCAGCAGCTGACCTCCCTTCTGGGTGAACTCACTCCTACTAGCACCAAGTCCTGGCCTGGTTCTGAAGTTCCTAGATGTGTTTGTTCTGACCTTCCTATAAATGTGATCCTATCCTGATAGTCACCTCATCTCTGTCTGCACCAGGTGGCACAGAGCAATGAGGGAAGAAAAACCCTAAGAAGTTGGAGCCAATTAAAGGAGATGGGAAAGCCAAGGGTATCTCCACATTTGGGAGGGGTGACAGAGAAGTCTCACTTCGAGAACTCAGGCGGGCATTCCCAAGCATTCAACGGTTGACTGCAGGCATCTCTTAATTTCTCTGAATCCCAGTTCCCCCATCTTTTCTATGAGTATACATGTATCTCACTTTTGAGACACGGTCTCATACTGTAGTTGAGGCCTACCCTAAATATGAACAGTCCTCATGACTCAGCCTCCTGATTGCTGAGCTTGTGGACAGGAGCCACCACAGCTGGCTTATGAGCTCAGGTTTATCTGACTCTCATGCTTGGCGACTCATGGATCACATGTTACAATGCATGTGCTTTGTAAGAAATAGGCATAGCCATGTTGGCATGATCAAATACATTATTGTGGGTGTCAGATTGCAAATGGAGGTGCTGACTTCTTGAGTAGAGTATTCTTATTCCATGGCTCCCAAATTATGGCTCACGGCCAACTCTGACTGGCCTCCTGTTTTTATATAACTTGTGAGGAAACAATTTTTTATATTTTAATTTGTCTTTAAAAGAAAATGACTATGACATAAAACTATTACATAAAATTCAAATCTCGGTGTCTATAAACAGAGTTCATTAGAACATAGCTGAGCACATTTGCTTATAGACCGTCCAGGGCTGCTTTTGTACTGCAGCAGCAGAACGGGTAGCTATGAATGACTGTAGCCATATTGAGTTCATACATTTACTCTCCGACTCTTCAGGAAGAAGCTCAGTGTCCTCCTTTTCTTGTTGAAAACTCCCAGAAAGAAAGGGGACTGCAAAGAAACCTCGTTTTTCACCTTTAATTTGTTTGCTGAATTCTTTTGCTTGGTAGTAAAGATAACATGAACATGCACCGTCTTTCCCACACACTTTTCTGTGTGGAAATGACAAGCTCACTGAAGCGCCAATGGAACATTGAAAGTCAGGCAAGAGGGAAGTTCCCGTCTCCAGTTTCCAGCCCCCCTGCACGTGTTGAATGATGCCTGTCTCTGCTGTTGAAACTCCAAATGCTCGTTATCGGGATCTTCAGACAATTGCTCAGCTGGGCTTCACCACGCCCTTCACTCATGTTTCTTCTGTTATTGATAGTGGTTATTGTAGAGTAATGACTTCTTGGCCCCACTCTTTCTTCTCCTGGGCTGCCTTGGTGCTCCACCGCCCCCTCCCTCCCTGCTCTCTGCTCTCCAGGGTGCTTCGAGTGAAGCATTCTGCTTGATCCTAAGAAGGGAAACAAATAAGGCACCAGGTTAAAGGAAAACTATCGCAGGAAGAAAATGAACACAGCACCTTGGAAGTCATTCCCTGTCCCTTTCCTGGGTCTTCTCCTAATGCATTGAATAGTAGCTAGAACTCTGTTGGCACACAAAAATATTCTCTACTCAGCTAGTAATGGCAGGGGAGTGCTTTTGCTTTCTGTTGCATTTCTAAATGGCCTGTTGGGGCATTCCTCTAATCTCAGCATTCCACAGCAGAGGCTGGCAAATCTCTGAGTTCAAGGCCAGCCTGGTCTACGTAGAAAGTTCCAGAACAGCCAGAACTGTGTAGAAAGACCCAGTCTCAAAAAAGGTCATTGTTGTCATTTTGTTAATATTGTTGATATTTTTAGTATATTCCATGCAAAAAAGAAGTTCAGTGTATCAAGTTAACAAGTTAGTGCAATATTGTGAAATGTAAGTAGGAGATGGCTATTTATATCCAATTCTCTTTTTTTCCTAGTGAGAAGCTGGATGGAAAAGCTAAAAGACAAGGTAAGGAGCATCTCTTCTTCCCTTTGATTTTTACTGAAGGGTAAATAGGAGATCTGCGGAGCAGTGGAGCTCCCACGTGTTACCATTCAGGAAGTTATATGTATACATACAGACATACATATGCATGTAATATCTGTCATAACCTTGGAGGAAAGCTATGACAAGCATAAGAGAGTGTGGAGGGAGGAAAGGGAAGGGATGAATGTTGTATTTAAATTACATTCTAAAACAACAACGATAATAATAATAATAATGGATCTTCAATTTGCTGCTCTGGGCCTCCCTCAGAAAGAGATATTCCCTTCAGATTCCTTTACTGGGAACACAGAAGACAGGCACTTTATTCTCTGGATTCCCAGCACCTTTCCTCCCCACCTCGTTTGTGTGTGTGTGTGTTGGGGGTATACATTCATATGTGTGTAAAGCCATGTGTGTTTATACATGAATGGAGGCCACAGATTGAGTCAAGTATCTTCCTCTATCACTCTCTATCTTATTCTTTTGAGGCAGGATCTCTCACTGAACCCAGAGCTGATGGATTTGGGGTACACTGGCAGCCAGCAAGCCCTAGTAATTCTCCCATCTCCACTCCTTACAGCACTGGGGTTACAGTCATGAGAGAGACCTACCATCCACTTGCAATGTGGGTTCTGGGATCTGAACTCAGATCCTGTAGCTGCACAGCAAGAACTCTCAAAACATGATTTTTTTTTAGGTGTGTTTATTTTATTTTATGTATATGAGCATTTTGCCTTAATGTATATGAACTGAAGTCACGGACAGTTGTGGGTCACCATGTGGGTACTGGGAATGGAGCCTGGGTCCTCTGCCAGAGCAGCCAGTGCTCTCTCTCAATCACTGAGCCTTCTCTTCAGTCCCAAGGAGCAAGACCCCTTAACCACTTGAGCCATCATCCCCTTATTGTGACAAATGTATAAGCATTTACTGTGAGTGATATGTCCAGCTGAATAACACCCTTGATCTACATGGTAGAGTTTCTTTTAGGGGATGTTGGCAGTGTTGCTCAGCTCTGCCTGTGGAACAGGAAGCTACCCTAGGTGTGTACTTACTGCAATGATGCTTCTCACAAGGCTCTAGCAAGCTACCCTGTCTAGACGGGCGGCTGTGGAAAGTGCTTCCCTCTCCTGTACACGTTTAGCCCACCGAATGGTGGTATTAATTCCTTTCCATGTGCACACTTTTATTTTCTTTGATTTTCAAGCCTCTCCAAGTTTCCACATTGGGTAGCTTTGTAGTTTTAACTGCAACTGCTCCTCAAAATATTGGTGGAAGCCTTAGTTCCTTGGTGCAGCCAGTGTCAGACTCCATTAGCTCAGCTCGGCTCAGCTTTAATTGGGACTTCGGTTGCTTGAAAACCTTTTTAATGGCCAGGCATTTAATTGCCCTCAGTTCCCCAGCCTCAAAACATCTCGGCTTATGGCTTTCCATATATTTTGTTTTATTATTTGAGCCAGTTTTCCTATAATGGAATTGATAGTTTTTAATTTTGCTACAATTTAATGTTAAAAAATGGGATATTCAATTGCAATTAAAATTATGGGATTATAATAGTTCTCACTATCCTTTTATTTCTCAGTAAAATGTACATATATGTAGCTTTTTAGAGTGAGGTTATTTTGTTTTCATGCATCTGAAAAGTGGTAAAGGAAACTTCCAGGCTGCTGAGGCTGGTGGCTGCCATCTTTGGTGTTTGTTGTGAGTCTAGTTATGTCAAAGGATACGTTCAGATGGACAGAAAGATTTAGAAAAATATTGTAGGGGAAGCCCAGCCCAAGGGGGCGTGTTCATCTCTGGCTAATGTTTACGTATAAATCTGGCGTGAGCCCCGCTGGTCCCTTTTTTATTTCCTGGTCATCGTTGGAACCCTGGTTTTGTAAGCTCTCCTGTTCTTCACCTTAATAAAGCTGATATTAAAGCTAGCCTGATTAATCCTATTTGCCGGTTGTTTACGCCCCTACAAAATATCATGAGAAAGATTTCTAAAATTTATTCCAAAAACAATTAAAATAGGCTTAAAATTTGGCAGAAAGCTGCATTGAGGTTAGATATTTTAAACTTTATAATCTGTATGTAAATATCAGTTCTTACTAGTTACCCTTTTCAGAAGCAATTTGCAAGCTACTGCCTCTGATGGAAGTCACTGAATCCCTTAGACAAAAACTAAACACCTATTGAACTGAGTTCTTTAGTCAAGCCAGAATACCCTCTCAGTCTAGTCTCATGAGTTGTTCTGATATCAGGCCTCTGTTAGCTGTGGGAGCTTTCGGAAAGAAGGTGTTTTCAAAAGTCCTGGTTTGTTTCTTTTGTTGATTTTTCGGGTTTTGATGTTAATATTAAAGTCAATTTTGAGTAACAGGAAGTTCCTGCCCAACACAGCTGTAGTCAGAGGTTCCTGGGTAGAGCCACAGAAACATGCCAAACTGCTTCAGTTTTATTATATATCATTTTGACCTTCATTCGCAAGTAATTCATGATTCTGGATGGCATGTCCAACTCAGCTCTCTCCACATGAATCTGTATGGCCTTGATGTCTTAGGGTTACTATTGCTGTGATGAAACACCATGACCAAAAAAACAACTTGTGGGGTGGTATATGGCTTAGACTTTGACACCACAGTTCATCATTGGAGAAAGTCTGGACAGGAATTCAAACAGGTCAGGAACCTGGAGGCAGAAACTGATGCAGAGGACATGGAAGGGTGTTGCTTGCTGGCTTGCTCAGTCTTCTTTCTTTCTTTCTTTCTTTCTTTCTTTCTTTCTTTCTTTCTTTCTTTCTTTCTCTCTCTTTCTCTCTCTCTCTCTCTCTCTCTCTCTCTCTCTCTCTCTCTCTCNCTCTCTCTCTCTCTCTCTCTCTCTTTCTTTCTCTCTCTCTTTTTTTGTTTTTAGTTTTTAGAGACAGGATTTCTCTGTAGCTTTGGAGCCTGCCCTGGAACTAGCTCTAGTAGCCCAGGCTGGCCTCGAACTCAAATGATCCACAGTGCCATTGGACCAGCATCCTCAAAATCCCAGGAGCTTGTCAGAAATGCAGATTCTCAGAACTCACTCTAGAGCTGAGTTAGAAACTCTGAGGATGTGGCCCAATAGTCTGTGTTCCCAAGCCTGACAAGTCCCTCTGACCTGTGCTCCCATTGGCGAGCTACTGCTACATAGAAAACACAAGGCTCAGAACAGCAGATCTGAGGCAGGGCATTGCAGTATGTGTTTGCTTATTTGTTTGTTTTTTGAGACCGGGTCTTACGTAGCCCCGGTTGACCCCTACCTCACTATGTAGCTAAGGATGGCTTTTGTTTTCTGATCTCCGTGCCTCTACCTCTCAATGCTGTGATTACAGGTATGTACACTATGCTTGGTTTAATGTGGTGCTGGGGGCTGAACCCAAGAACTATGACCTCAGTGCCTTTCATGGGCTTTTCTTATAGCTTGCTTGAAAACAGATGCTTCTGAACAAATGTATTTTCTTAAAAAATAATTTCAAAGGCAAACACATAAATGCAAGCATGTCTAGTGAGATTTTTGTTTACCATATATTTTAGATGCTTAGACTTTAAAGGGAATGCTGTACAATTCATAGGCCAGAAATAAAAATAAGAATGGCACCAAGAACATCCCTCCCACCTTTAGCCTAGTTGCATCAACTGCTAACATTTACCACCTTGGAGCTTTCATTTGTGAAGACATTCTCCTCCTTATTCCTACCTGAACCATCTGATGATAAATTGCACAGACTATAATTTATTTATTCCTAATTCTTCAGTGCATAGTTTCTGAGAATAAGAACATTGTGTTGTCAAATCTGACTGTAGTTAGCTACAGTATATTTATGGTCCCTGGTATCTGCAGTGCAACTTTTTTAACAGACTCAAAGTGACATTCACAAAAATATTTCTCCTCTAAAATGAAATCCCATCAATTATGTAACATATCCCTTATCATACTTCTCCCATTTCCTTTCTTCGTTTTGTAGCTGTCTTTCATTTTTCATAGTACACATATTTATGAAGATGCAGATTTTTATATAACATAGAGTGCCCATCACTTTAGGCTTGCTGGCTGTTTCATCATGGTTAGACCCACTTTGCACAGTCTTGGTTGGAACAACACATGGGTAAACTGTGTGCTCTGGACACCTTTTCTATATGCACATGCACAGCCAGTGGTTTTAAATGAAGAAAATCTACTAGGCAAAATTAAAAACTTAAAAAAATAAGTGCACGCTTTCTTATTTTATTTCTGAAGAATATAAGCGATGGGCATCTCTGGGGAAGACGTTATTTTGGCTTAGCCAGCTTTAAAGGACAAGTGGTTACATAGTATTGGAAGGTGGCCTGACCACTTCATTCCCATTCTACAGTTTACTTGTGACTTTAAGGTAAAGAAGATACCATTTAAAAAGTGAAGGATATAATTAAATTTGTTTGTGTGTGAAATATGAAGAAAATGATATATTTTGAATACCCACATTGTTGGTATGGATTTAAGCTATATATCTGCAGAAGGTTCAGGCAATGTTTGACAAGTTGATATTCCAAAGAATAGAATGTTTTCCTCTGAATGCATAACTTATAAAAAGTTCATTAATGGGTCTAAAATTTGATTATTCTTCATATTAAATAGGTGTTACATTTCAATGCACTGAAAATATTGATTTTTAAAAATTCTCTATTTTTTATGAAAGTACCAAAAGTTTTGCATTGTCCAATATTTCTCTATATGGAAGATGACTGAGTTTTTATAACACTCAATGGATCTGCAAGAATTTTAGAAAAGCTGATTTTTCTACAAAGTGAATGAATTTGTTGAAGAATGAACAAATCCCTGGGTGGGATTTGTTTCACCTTTGAAAACAATACTTTGATTTAAAAGAATCTCATTGTTCTTAAATTAATGAAAAAATTTTCATATTTTGCCCCAATTTGAAACTCTGGCATATGAGAGCGGTGATGGAGATGCTGAGCATAGACAAGGGTGTGAGGCTCTGTGAGGCCCTGTGAGGCCACCTCTGCTGCTCCACATGCAGGGTTAGAGGAAGAAGAACAGCCTACAGACCTCGGTGCTTTCAGAAAACCTCCCCCCCTTACCCCCATCTGTCTGAATAGTTTTCTAGATTAGAAATTAGTCCGGAGCTAGGAAGATGACTCTGTGGTTTAAGAGCATTTATTGCTCTTGCTGAGGACCAGGTTCTATTCCATAACCCATGTGGTGGCTTACAACCATCTCTAACTCTAGTGCTAGGTGTGATGGATGTCTTCCGTCCTCTCTTGGTGACGCACATACACTCAGACACACATATACACATCACACAGAGAGGCAGAAATTAAACAAACAAATCAAAAATGAAAAAGAGGAAGACTCATCCTCTTTCATAAAAACACCTGTCTACTCATTCTAGATTTTAAAGTTAAAGCTGTGATGTATTTTGTCCAGTAGGGGTGCACCCTTTTGCTCTCCCATGAAAAGGTTCTGCTCTCCCATGAAAAGGTTCTGGGCTAGTGTATACCCCTGCAGCCCACAGGAGCTTTACTGCAAAGATCTACCTCAGGACAAGGGCCTTGTTCCAAGAGTGGGTGGAGCTATTGGCTGGAACACTGGGATGTGCAGGGACCATGCTTTTCTCTCAGGACTGAGGTGTCCATAGTGACCTTCAGTATGCTTGAAACACCTGAGGCTCCTTGGGAAGTAGCCATGTTGCTGGCAGCGATCTTTGTGCCCTTTTTGGTCACCGCTTCCCTGAGCCTGAGGACACTCTGTTTTGGTCTTGTTCATTGGCCACATTGCTTCACTCAGAGATCCACTTCACATGCATGTGCCTGCTCCTTGTCCTTGGCTCCCAACAACTAACCCACTTCTTAATTCCTGTGCCTTAATCCCTGCCCCTTTCCTTGCTCTTCATGATGTTCTCGCCTTCTACTCGTGTACACACTTATCTTTCATTTTTTATTGTAATATAGCTGAGAAGAGTGTGAGACACAGTGTGGAAGGGAGGGCAAGAGAGTGAGACATCCCCCTTCACCCTCCAAGGAACACAGTATTCCAGAGGACACTTCAGCTCCTTGGCATGCGACTCAGGCTGTTTTCAATTTATTGCATTTTAATAGCCCTGGCATTCTCAGAAGCCCACTCCATCCATCTTTAGTACAAATTATATTTCTGTCATCAAAAATTGATGTTGACAAATGTGCATAATCAGGTGGCTGGAGGGGCCACTGGGTCTGGCTGATTTATTTCAGAACTTACTTCTAAGGGTTTTGAAATATCAAAAAAAAAAAAAGGTTGTTATTTTTCTCTGTTGCTTTCTTCCTCCAAAGCCCCAAAGCAGAACCTTTGTTATAGGTTTTCTTTTAAATTATAATATAGCAGACAGAAGGATTCAAAGCATCTCAAAACCTGCTGCTATGTACAGGGACAGGGAACCCAGAATCCGGTGGTCCATGTAGCATTCTGATACTTGTCTCTCTCCTCCTCCGTTCAGGCTGGCTATATGTCTGGAATGCTGGTGCCTGTTGGGGTAGGGATAGCTGGAGCCTTGTTCATCTTGGGAGCACTCTACAGCATTAAGGTCATGAATCGCCGAAGAAGAAATGGCTTCAAAAGGCATAAAAGGAAGGTATGCAAGAAACAAAAGCAAAGCTAATCGGTTGCAGAGAGTTCTTCCCTGCTTGCCTAATTTGCCTGATAAAGTACAGAGAAGTTAATGGTGCAAGAAAGCCTTCTGTTGAGGCGTTTTGTATTATCTGCTCCCCATCCTTTAGAGTGGGTCTGCTCCTTGGCTTTGCAGAGAAAGAATTTGATGCTTTCCTGTCTTCTTCCCCCAGCAGAAAGAATTCAACAGCATGCAAGACAGAGTGATGCTGCTAGCGGACAGCTCGGAAGACGAATTCTGAATCGGACTTGGGTTTAATGCAATGACATCATTGTTTCAATTTTTATTTGAGGGCAAAAAGAAAATAAATAAATGGCAACAATATCTCACCGCCTTGCTGCTACTGGGCCTCTGACCAGCCTTCGTCTCTGCTGGAGAGTAGATTTTTCTTGTGCTGAGCAGTGAAGACGCCCTGTATACGAAATGTAGCATGCAGTGTTCAGTTATTCTGCAGTGTTTGCCCTCACCAAGGGCTGCAGTTCAGAAGCACAGAGCACACATGTTCAGTAGGAGTAGCTGGGTTGGGTAAAGTAAATACCTTGTATTTTTTAAACCTTTTAGTCTCAGATTTTATTTTTTCGTCTTTTAGTCTCACTGTTCATAAGAAAAAAAATGCACTAAAAATTGTACACTAAAGAGCCCTTAGCCTTAATTTACGCTTGCTTTCTTAAATACTGTTAGTCCAATGGGTGTGATGGAAGATTCTTGTTTGCTTATCATTACAAAATATTCCATTGGTATATTACTGAAATTAACTGAGAAGGAAAGAAAAGGATGACATGAAGATAAGGGTGTGTGGGCTTCCAGAGTGTTTGTCCCTGCTCCTTGGTTCTGTATTCATGTGGCATTACTGTGGTAAGTCAGAGGATCACTTTTCACGTCTACGATCTCACTATGGAAGGAGTGGGCCACCAGTGGACTTCTTTGGCTTTACTAGAAAAGACAGGCATTCTTTGGTAGAAGGTGACCCAGTGGCCTGAGTCCTCATGTGTAAATAAGCTCTCGCTGTCACGCATGTGGGATGATGAGCTAGTAGATCCTTTCTCATTTGTCTTGGAATGCAATTCCCTCTTCTACACCAAATAACGCATTCAAACACAATGTTTGAATCTGGGTATTTGGGGATTTTAGTGCATTGCATTGAGCAGTATGGCTTGGGTCAGTTCCAAGGATAGATAAAGGTTACCAGTAGTGCTGTTACCATGGAGAATTTGTTCATAGACATTAAAGCCTATTCTACTCAGACAGGGTCTATTTGATTACTCCTTGTAGCTTCTGGGTGGGAAAGAACATATATTTTTTTCCATTCTACTGAAGATGGAACATAAGCGGAGGAGAGAAAGAATTAATCATCAGTTACATCTGCGGACTCAGCATGAGGACCACCTTAAACCCAAACTATGTGCTGTATTTTCAGTTCTGTGCCCTTTCCCCCATGCTTTGAAAGATACGAATGAATTTTTCCCACAGGTTCTTCCATCCCACATGGATTTATGTATCATTTCTAGAGAACGAAAAGAGAAATGGAACCCATTTTTGAATGATGGTTAGCTCTCTCTCTCTCTCTCTCTCTCTCTCTCTCTCTCTCTNTCTCTCTCTCTCTCTCTCTCTCTCTCTCTCTCTCTCTCTCTCTCTCACACACACACACACACATACACACACACAATATTTTCATCAAGTAAGTTTAACTCTTTTGATCAAGAAAGCAACTGTGTAAAACTGATAAGGGAAATGAAAAGCTCGATGGAGACAAACAAAAACTAGAGTTCCTAGATGGGGTTGAAGTCAGATTTTTTTAAAGTAGACCAGGAACGTAAGTGATGACTTTCATGGGTGAGTCAGTCTCACTGGGAGAACTGTCCTGCTTCCGAGTAAGTGGTGCTTTCTAAGAGCAGACTCTTGCTGTGCTCCTCAGGCTTCAAGTCAGCGAGCGCGAGGGGACATTGTACCTGCATTCTTAACAAGATGTATATGGCAAACTAACAATAGGTTCTTCTAATTCAAGGACACATGGGCGATATGGATGGTCAGTCATGCCTAGAACTGCTCAACCTGTAGCTTTAGATTAGCTCAGGGCTGCCTCTTCAAACTGCTGCAATATAAAGGCCATGAGGAACAGTCACACGTTCACAGTGAGGATGACATGTGTGTGACTGTGTCCTCTAGCAGCGATGTCTACATCCTGTCAGCACATGTGAGCACGCATAGAAAAGGGGTTTCTATAGACCACAGCATATTTCTGTACAAACCTACTTCACTCTCTGTATAAAGAAATGTGCTACACATTAGTCTATTCCTCAGTGCTAAAAACAAGAGAAAAAAGTCCTGGTCCTCTGACACGGATGTGGGAGGACGGTCTGCTGAGTGAAATAAACCAGATCCATAAGAAGTGCTGCCTGAGTCTAAAGGCCATGAACCATCTAAGTGGTCATGTTCAGAAACCCGTGTGCATGATGGTTGCCAAGGATGAGGAAAGGGGGCAGAGGGAGGTATGAGGAGGTGTTGGTTGGTGGTATTAAGTTATGAAGCTGAATAGGTTCTAGACATCGGTTGGACAGTGTAGCACCTACAGGTAACAATGCAATATTGTACAGCAAATCTCGTATAGGCAATAATGCGATATTGTACAGCATAGCACCTATAGGCCATAGTGCAATATTGTACACTATAGCACTTATAGGAAATAATGCAATATTTACACTATAGCACCTACATGCAATAATGCAATATCGTACACTATAGCGGCTATAGGCAATAATGCAATATTGTACAGCATAGTGCCTACAGGCAATAATGTAATATTGTACAACATAGCACCTATAGGCAATAATGCAATATTGTACAAGATAGCGCCTACACTTCAATGTGTTCACACAAAATCTTGTTAAGATAGTGGGTATTATGTTAAATATTTTTACCATGAAACTAAAAGATGAAGGAGAGTAGGACTCTGGGAAAGGACACTTTCCCTAATCACCCTAAGGAAGACAAAAGAAAAGAAAAGATAAATGAGAGAAGCTACTAGAAAAAAAGAACAGAAGGCAGACTGAGGAGAGGAAGTTTCTGCCATGCTTTTGGTCCCATTTGCTATAATCAGAAGGTAATATTTTTATTTTGAACTTCTTTAATTTTTCTATCTTCTATGAGCTGCTTCTTTCACTAGCTTCTGGCTGAATTTATATGCAATATTTAGAGTTAATTAGTATCCCAGGACAAGAGATTCCCATAGCAATGCCTTAGCCTTGACTGCAGCTCATACGCTACCTTTGTGGTGCTTTTCCAGAAACTTGCAGTACCTGTATCCCTGACACAGGTCAAACATGCCGTGAAGAATACTGTAAAGTGTCGTTTGGGAATATATTTAAAGTGGTTGTATCTTAGTCAATACTAAAGCACTTCATCATTTTATTAATTTATTCTATTTTTATTTTATTTTATTTTTGTGGTACTGGGGATAAAACTCATGACATCGTGTATAATAAGCAAGTGCCCTTATTTTGAAACATACGTACACACATTTGAAGCCCAAGACTTAAAATGTTACTTCCATTAAAACAATATGGAGTGATATTCTGAATGCCTAATGCTTCTCTCTGTGTGTATCTCTGGGTATTTTCTTCGTGTAGAAGTCCAAATGAAGTACCATTTAAATCACATCTATAGTGTGTGTGTGGGGGGGGGGGGTGTAGGATCAAATCATCTTTGTGAGTTCTGTGGATATGATTAATCTCCATCCCTGCCAGCTGCTGAGAAACAGTTTTGGGAACAAGCTATGCTATTTGGCACAAGCTTATAGTTGTGAGGTCCTTGGTAGAAACAGGCTCTGCTCTGACCAAAGGGAAATTGCAGAGGGGAAAACTGCAGTGAAAGCGAGCAGCCTCTCCAGCTAGCAGTATGACTCCATTGCTTACAGTCTGCCCTGAGGCAGTGTCTGGGATTGCTTGTCCCTGCTATATTATCTGGAAGTTATTGACATTTTACAAAGGCCACACATTTGTGCCAAGCTTTCGACCAGTTTCCCGCAGTGATTTCGAGTATGGAGGAAATAGGTGGTATTACCCTCATCACAGATCTGGGTTTGCTGGTTTAATATCAGGATCTAATTGTTCCTTTTCTTAAACTGGTTTTTCTCTTGATATTTTTAAAGGATGATTTTTATTGATTTCCAGAAAATGTGAGACTCAAAGTCTTGAGACCTAGAATTCTTCTATTGTCAGCAAAATAAATAATTGTGTATAAAGGTTGTTCAATTAATGTAATAAATGTCAAACAACTGGGAAGAACAGTTGTAATAACAAGGAAAGAAATATGAATATAAAAAGATGGAAGAAAAATACTAACGCAAGTCATGTATAACATGATAGAATGATGTGCTGGAAAAAAGTCATGAATGAATTTTTATTTTTTTGGTGCTGGGGATCAGACTTATGACTTCATGCATACTTACTAAGTGCTCTACCACTGAGCTATACCCCCTACCCTCATATTTAGCTCATTAGAAAAACAACAAAGCCAAACAAGTTAAAGAAAACAAATGAAGAAGATCATTGACAGGAAAGGACCGTATATCTTCATAGCCCCTTTTGAGTTCCATCTTTCTCATCAAAGGAAATTATACTAGGAGGAACGAATAAGGCCTAGAAGGAACTGATGTCCAGGATGAATGCGGAGATGAAAGGTTTCTTAAACTAAACTGAGCTTAAGCTTAGTTAATTGTCTTCCTGAATTACAAAGACTGAGTGTAAGTTTTTAGGATGGAAATAAGTTGGAAAAAAAAAAGAATGCTATTAACCTAATACTATAGTTTAATATCTGGACATGTTTACATATTACATAATAGGTACCATATTTGGACACACAACACTATTTTGGGTAGTTATTAAGCCAATAAACTGGAATGGACTAAAGAGTGATACCTCGTTATGGTATTCTGATAATTACAGATCCTGGCAGTCCCTCCACCGCTCATATTTCAACAACAGTAAAATGTTTGCTTTACTCAGGGGAAGACTTCAGAGTTCACCTAATATCATCCTGAGCTTTTGAGTAAACTAGAGAAAGAGAACAGAAATTGCCTTCTTACTTGTGCTGCCGTCTTCTCCCCCTCTCTTCCTTCTTCTTTGTCTCTTCCTTCCGTTCTGTTTCTCTTTCTGTGTGTTTACATAACAAGCATTTGGGAGATTTAGTAAAGAAGTAGACCCATCTATTACTCAGATGGGATACCTATGGTGCATGCATGTAACATGAGCTTACAGGAGAAATTTAACAAGATGATGTTTCTGGCCCTGTTGACTGCCTGGCCCTGTTGGCTGAGGTACTGGCTGTAGCCATGTTTATAGCCACAATTCTATGGCGTTTCAAGGTCCCTGCCAGCCAGCGAGCTACAACAGACAACAGTCAAGTCCTCTCTCTGTAGCCGGACCTCCTGCCTCAGTCAGAGTTTGCCCTGGCAGGACGGCCCAGAAAGCCGGCATTTTTAAACAGCACAACTTTTTTCCTGCTATGGCTGAAAACCGAAAAGCATGCGTTCAGCTTTTCACCAACACCGTTTAAGTGTTTTGTGGCAGGACCTCTTAATGAGCTGCAGGGTTTTGCAGCTGAAGCTGAGTCAGGAAGCCTCTCTTAGATGAGAGCGCTTGCTTGCGTCTAGCAAGTGGAGTAGACCCAAGAAATTGTTACTACCAAGAAAACATGCATCACTCCATTCTTTCCCAAGCTTTCTCAGGCTTTTTGTGGTTTCAGTTGTCCACACGTCTGGGCGCCATCTGTTGAAATAAGAGCAGCGGCGGGGCTGCGTCCCCAACACCCCGGCCGCTTGGCTAGCTCATGCCCGAAATAACAACACACAAACTGTATTCATTTAAAGAACTGCTTGGCCCATGAACTCTAGCCCTTACAGGCTAATTTTCGCATCTGGACTAGCCCATTTCTAATGATGTGTGTAAGCACCCCAAGGTGCGCTTACCGGGAAGATTCTAGCCTAAGTCCATCGTGGGTTGCAGCTGCCTGGGAGAGCAGAGCATGGCGTCTCTCCAGCAGAGCTGTCCAGTCTCTCCGGAAGCAGAGCAGAGTCTGACCTCACTTCCTCTTCCACCCAGAATTCTATTCTGTTTACTCCTCCCATCTATGTTCCAAGCCATGAGGCCAAGCAGCTGGTTTATTATAATTTAACCAATGAAATCATCAGATTGATATATGACACTCCCACATCACTTCCCCTTTTTCTGTTTAAACAAAAAAAAAAAAAAAGAAGGCTTTAACTTAACATCCAAAGCTCTAGAAATGACAGAGACATCTCGCTGCCTGGACAGTCACCCAAAGTTCCTCTATACCGTTGGGGCATCCATCTTCGGCCTACAGGCCCATAGTTTCCAGCAGACATTTCCACAAAGCAGGAAATTTCAAAGGCAGTCACTATCTGCTTGTCCTGAAGAATGTCTCGCAGACTCTTTCATGAAGCAGGAACCCCGAAAGATCATCTCACCTTTAGGCAAGTTCAGCAGTCCTCTCTCTGCGGGTTCTCTGTGTCCAGTTTATGCAATAGTCCAGGCAAGAGCAGTTTCTTGCCCAAATGGCTA